TCTTTGATGGTGATGGGATCGGGTAATAAATTTTTCAATCAGAAGGGGTTTTGTGGAGATTTTTAGTATTTTCATAGTTGAAAGCATGAATCAATTGAAGCTAGACCACCAAGGAAAACCTGGAAGCATTGGACGACCGTTTCGTCTTATTGTGGGACTCCTCAGCAGTGCGCATCCCTGACCTCGCCTCGCGAGATCCGAACCCAGGACTTACCAGTCTCTCACCAGAGCACTTAACTGTCCAGTGCTTCCAGGTTTTCCTTGGTGGTCTAGCTTCAATTGATTCATGCTTTCAACTATGAAAATATATTTTACACTCAAATTCGACAATAGACAAGCATTCACTTTCTCTATGTTGAAAAGACACGAAAACTACATGAAACTCATAAGTCTCCACTCCGGCACTCGGACCCAGTAATATTCACTTCAAACACCATCGTATTATCCATTTAGTTGCTTAGTCAAGATAACCACTAGCTTGTGCAATCTTTAGTCCATATATATTGGTTGTTTGGATCTTCTCACTGATGTTTAAGACGGAGATTGATCGATCTATTTTGCACAAGTTAGTGACTATCTAGACTCAGTAGCTAAGTAGATAATGCGATAGCGTTTGAAGCGAAAGGTAATACGTTCGAGTTGTGGAATGAACATCAACTCTAGGATGCAGGTAACTCCAGCTGACGAGTCTCAGATAGAGGCAATCCTCATAGAACGTATATATATATATATATATATATATATATATATATATATATATATATATAAGAATTCTAAATGACTTTCTTAATATTATTCTCCTTACTGTCAAATGCTTTTATTTTCAGATGTAGAACTAATTCATTATTATCTGTTATTCTTTTTAGGGTGAAGTTTGCGGTTATCAGAGGACTGGAATGGCTAAAGCGAAAAACAGTGTACTTTGTTTAGCTTCTGTAAGAGTGTGCTTTTATTTTTCATTTCCTTAATGTGTATTTTATGGTCTTTTCTATTTTAAATGTTACTCTAGAAAATCCACGATTTTTACAACCTACTTTAAGGTAATAAGTAGTATTCGGTTCCCTGCATAATAAAGTTTCAGTAATCTTCATTCACATTAGCTTCAGAGGTTTTTCGGTATCATTGTCTTCGTCAAACTCGAATTTCGTCATTTGAAATCCTCATTATGTAATAGAACTTTTTATTGGTTCCTTTTCATTTATAGTTTGAACGAACTGGTGATCATTTGTTTGAAGCTGCCTATCATTGTCAAGATGATCAATTGACTGGTGGGTGTTATATTTAAATACATTTATTTTTCATGATTTAATTACTTTATTCAGGTTTTGATAGTTTAGAAAATCTTTGTTATTTATTTGAGAGTGTTTTTGAGGTTATTATTGTGAAGAATTTGATTAGAATGTTGGACGTAAGACCCATTAACCCTCTTAATGAATATCTACCAAGTTATTGTTTTGTATTCAGCAGAGCAAGTAAATTGATTTCTATAAATAATACAACTCGTTTGCAAAGTACATACTCATATACTTAGTTTTGTGTTACACTAAACTACACAAACGACACGGTTCGTAGAGAATCCGAAGTAGATGGAGTCGGCTTCCTATCCACGGTTTGTCTGTTAGTATGGCAAAAACTATAACCTTTTTGCTAGCCTTTTTTTCTCTGAGCTGAATGGTTTGTTCGTGGAGCTTCCATTATTCTTCTGAACAACATCGTCAGCACAAACTTCGGGCAGAAGTTTGAAAGCTCCACGACCAAACCATCCAACTCAGAGAACAAAACGCCATCAAAATCACTCATCTGCGCTACAAATCTTCTCCACTATAACTTTTTGATTACATTTCAATCATCCGTTTATTAACTGATCTTTTATTAATTCAATGGAAGATTTAATATTCTCTTTGTCATTTATTTTATTTACCTTTTTATGTGTTTTTTTATTGTTTAGGTGTTACGGAAAACATCATTCTAGGAAATCCAACCAGGGTTGGAACTGGAACATTCGATCTGCTAAGTGATAGATATCCTTTCTTGTTTAAAAGAGTATTTGAAATTTTGTTTGAATTGAAATATTAAGGTTTTTTAGAATTTATTTGCAAGTGAATAATTTTTTCAATATGCAACTTAAGAACTACATAGAAGTTCATATACTTCTCTTTAAACTACAATTTGTTTGAGAATATAGTGATACAAATCCAAATAAATGTAGTACGGTGTTCTAACCTGTAACCAAATTGTTAAAATTACGAATTTTCTGTCAACTCTAAGTTATCATCGCTTCAAATGAGGGTAAAACCATTCACAAGATTCCTGTAAACTTACCATAAAAGTATGGTGTTGATGACTACTGAAAAAAAATTTGCATCCCATATCTGCCATATTGGACAGTATTATTGGGAGTGCCAATTAATAGTAATAGAAAATTCAACGTTTTCAACGTTTGTTAAGCTTATCAGTCCTTGTTCGATACATTTCGGATGTGTCAGTGTAGTTTAGGTATGACGTCAATTTTTAATCTCACTTTGAAGGCTCATGTAATATTAAAATTAAAATATATTCCAATTGCTCTGAAATTACTAAACCATCCTATTATCTGTTGCTTACCGAACAGCTTGTTTTATACTTGTGTTCGATCTACAAGACAGAACATTCATTCTACTCGCGTATCCAACATTCATTTAATTGGCTGATTAATTAATGTGTTGGGTTATGCTAGAAATGTAATTCATATCACTGGTGTTCTTTCAGATCACATTTATGATTTTAAATTATAAGATGATAAAGAATGGTATAAAAAAAGGTGAAATTCTGTGCGTGTTAAATGTTGTAGAACTTTGCCTCACTGGTTTAAACTCCTCACTTTCAGCTAGTTAATTGTAGTTTCAAGCTCTGTTCTATTTCTAATCAATGTTAACAGTCATTAATTTTACAATAAAGCCTAGTACAACATGAATATATATCTTAGATTTTGGCATTATTCTAATGATTACTAACGTTGCATATTCGAACATGAAACAGATTGATTGTTTAGTCTTCAGTTTATCTCTCTTTCTTCGTTGAAAAAAAAGAAAGAATCACTTGCATTTTTTCATTTGTCGATAAACAGAGGAAACTTTCCACTTAATTCTTTAAACAGATCTCATAATAATTCCGATATTCATATGACGATTTTCTAGTAGAGATATATACGTGTTTTCAATGCTTAAATCATAAACTAATCTTATTTAGATCTTCATTGAAAGTCGATAAATGATTGATGGTCGTTTCTCCCTAGTGTAGAGCCCCTCTGACTCCGCTTGCGGTAGTCGAACCTATAACTTTCGATTTAGCGTGCGAACGTTCAATCTCTAGACTATCAAGTCGGCAACCAATAGTATACATGCCTAACTTTAACCAATTTAGGATATCGCATAACCTCCATCTATTGGTTGTGGTGGATTATTGTTTGATATCCACGTAAATTACATTAGTCATGATTTCTCGTTAGAACTTCAAGATTTACATCTTGAAGCTAGTCACTAGTCACCAGAGATTTTGTAGAGATTGTAAGATTTTAATAGTTTAAAAAACACACTAATTTGTCATTTCCATTTTACTAATTTTTAAGAATATTTATATATTTTCTATATATGTTTTAAAATAAAAACCGTTGATTGTTATAACCTTAATTGGATTATTCTTTTTCGAAATATTATTCTACGTGGGAGAAAAATTTACAACTCGACATTAAACCTACATTGTTAAATTTTTGAAATGAACAAATTCTACTGCTTTGCATTTCATAACTTTTGCATCATCATCATCATGATACATTTATATGTATGTGTACATAAAAAAATGACTTTTTTCATTGTACAAATCGGCATATCTCAGTCATCTGTTTATATTTTTTGTTATATAACGATTAAAGTGTAAGGGGGAAATTATAATTTTATTCTCGCTTCAATTTTCATTGAATAGCATCTTTTGTTCATTTCATTTGTTTTAGAGAATCATTGAGTAAAGAGAAAATAAACTATGCTTCTATTTATGTTGTTTTCTTTATTATCGAGTGTTTAGTTATCAGCTATTAAAAAGTGCTTCATTGGTTTTCTCCATGTTAAATGGATATTGAAGAGGTTAAACAGTTATGTTATATCGTTTAGTCTAGCCGCATAGATCCTATCTATTAATTCTTCACTGTAACTAACGAACTAAAGTATTTTGATATGTTGTCACATTTTATTTTTTAAAAAAACACACTTATTGCTAGTCTAATTTAAGTGATTTGTGATTGTAAATTTTACTGTTTACTTGGTTGGTTCAAATTGCTATATGACTAGAATGGGAGAAAATAAACTTATTCAGCAACTTAAATTATAGGGACACTAAGAAGGATTCCTTTTTTTGTAAATACTGTGAACGCATTCATAATATTGAATTTAGATTTGAATATCACTTGGAAATATGTTTCATCGAAAAACATTTCTACTAATTAACGTTTTGTTTACCTAACCTTAGTTAATTATAATACGTCTGATTTACACACGGTTTGTCATAAGCCTTTACAGAGTAGGGAAGTTATTGAGATTAAAGCAATTAAAGCCTAAAATGCACACTAATGAAACATCCTTGATTAGCATTAACATGATTTTCTAACATCCTTTGTGGGAAGAAATTTGTGTTCATCTATCGGTATCTAAATTATGATGGTCATGTTCTACTAAACTTTAATAATTATGAATAATAATTTACAGCCCTTTGACATAAGGATTACTATTTTATAGACGGTTACAATGTAATTTCTTTTGCTTTATTGAATCAGAATATTAGAGATATGGAGATTCATTGTGCTTGATTAGTTTAGCCCATCAGATTCGAATCTCATTTAATCATTTATAAAAATGGCCTGCATATCGGTTCACCTTTATTGCCTATAGCTCTGCATCTAACCTGAGTGCTACTTTATTGATGGTGTGACAACAAGCTACAAATTTGTGAAAAACATCTTGAATTATTCACTTGTAGTACCTTTTTTCACAGATGTACAGTGGAGTACAATGGATCAATGTATAGTTTATGCTAAGATCGAAAGGTATTTACCATATGATGTCAATGAGAATAGAAAATGTAGCTAAGAATGATAAAAATAAACGCTTGATACTAAATATAATGTCTTGTTAGATTTACGAACTTTATAATAATTTGCCAGTGTTCTATGTAATATAGATGCTTCTTTTCATATATTAACTCTACTCAAATTATTTTCAATTAAAACCCATACGATTAAAGTTCCTTTTCTTATTTCTACGAATAATATATTCTTTATACGATTCAACACCAGAGTTTTGAAGAAATTCATCTACATACTGAGTTGGTATAAATATTTGTTCTGATTCATCAGAATTTCGGTGCTGCTGAATGGATTGTGTTGAACTTTCTTCTGCATTGCATGTGTTATTCGATTTCGTCCTTGACTTAGACTTGCTTTCATAATAATAGGCTAAATACCAACCAACAGTGAATAGTATGAACAACAGAAAAATATCTAATGGAGCCATAATTAAGGCAATAATACGCCATAATTCGATTATTACCTCTAATTGATTAATATATTTTCTAGGTATAATTTTCACATGTACTTCATTTGTTAACCAACGAATATGGGGAATATCAGTTGTAAATGAGTCATTTTTATGAATTGATCTTTGAATCCAACACTGCCATGCCCCAGATTTCTGTTTTATAGAACTATTTAAAGCAAGCCAATTAGCCTTCCAATAAGTTAATGCATGAATCTGTCTTGTCAATAAATTATTCTTATCTAGATAAGTTACATTTTCATTGAATTTAACCAACGATGAATTGATAATGGGAGGATTTTCAAGATATTTATAAGATGGTTGTAACAATTGAATATTTGAGTTTTCATTCATTTCAACAACCTTTGTATCATCAATTTGACCATATGGTACGAATTTCCAACCAATACTCCAAAATGTCGGGTCTACATTATTCATTGTTAATGCTGTTAGAAAAATATCTGCATTACATGGAGCTAAAATTTCCAATAAAAGTAAGAAAGGTCAGACACTGAAAATATATGAGAAAAAATCAATTCAAAAGTAATCTTCATTTATTCCTATTTTACAATTTTGGATACTAACTATCCGTGAATATTTTTACCGATCGAATGCCCTACTGTTTTTGGAATGATTTGTGTTATTTTTAAAATAATTTGTATTGAAAAGCGCTTTAGATACATTTTGTGTATGTCTCTCTAGCATCGTTATAACCAAACATTTCTGAATGTTGTCATTACCTGAAAGAAAGAAATGGTTAGTTTACTTTTCACTACTGAAAGCACTTTTTAAAACTCCTTTTTAGCCTTTGAATTCAAAGGTATTCAATTTGATTGACGTGTACGTTGTAAGATATTTCTCTCATAACAATACTGTATATCTCTTTTGTGACTTGTTTGCTTTTACGTCATTTATTGTGTGAGGTGGTTTTCTTGAAAAATCTGTACATCTTAAAGGTCATTTTCGTCACAAATTATTGTCAGCCGGGCAACTGATGAAAATTATCTAATATAGAATAGTTGATGTTAATCTCGATCAACAAGTGTGAAGCAATTAATAATCTTTGCACTTAGCGCCTACTATTTATTGGTTATTGATCATTGCCTTTTTAATGTAATTATCAATTAGAAAAATGTACCAGCCCTTTATCAAACATGAGTAACTCTTTAATCGATTTACTTTATTGTGTCCCTACTTCCATTTGGCGGGCGTGCGCTTATAGATTCTTTTGTAATTAACTACTATTTTACGTTTTTGTACTAATCGTAATTATTTGTATTTTAAAAGCATAATTATTGGCAATATATATATTTACCTGTTTTGATTATAGCCCTATTGTGACTGTATGCGTGATAGGATAGAGACTCATTCAGGAAATTCATCTGTTGGTAAATTGAATTCAATATTTGATGAATCCCTTACTAAGACGAAATGGCCCTGAGTAGTCTCGTCTGGGCTTTTCATCGGTTCTCTAGGTGATTTTAGGTCCTGGTGCGGATTGTTTTTAAAAGTCCTCTCATTCAAATCTTTCTGTTCTGTCGTATTTTTTGTCCTTGACCCCAACTGCTGTTACATTCATTTTCTATTCCATGTCGAAAAAAAATCAATTAACGAAAGTATTTTTGTTTTCGCTTACAGAACCCTTTTAATATTAATAATTAGAAACGTAATGATACAATAATTAATTTTGATTTGGTTTGTTCAGTCCAGTCTTATTGAAGGTCAGTAATAATCCCATAAACATCTCTTTCCCTTCATAAAGAAAATATCCATGTAGAAATTTTATGAATACGCGAATTGCTAGTGATACAATGGGTTAATCGAAATTCACCAAATGAGAAGGCTAGATTGCACCAATCAAAAATATTTTAAATGATAAATACATGTTATTGGCCACTTTTAGTCTTCTCACTTAGTAGCTGACTTAAGGTTTTGCATATAGGAAGTTTGTGTAGTATTATCAGTATCAGACATCGCGCGTCATAAGAGCTATGAATAAAATATCGGAATGTTAGGAAAAAAAAAGATCCATCCCTTAAATCTACATATTTTTAAACGATAATATTAAATTCTCTAATCCGATTCACACTGCACTTTTTGATACTTACAAACAAACATTGAGTAGTGATTTGATCGTAGTCTTGATAGAAAAAGAATAGACAACCGAATTTTGAAATCGACTAATCACTATTGACTTGAAATTCTCTGATTCTATTTGTTTTTTTCTTAAATAAACGATAACTACTTTATGCGACTGATTATCTCCAGGCTATCTGCACAGGATGTACATATGCCAATAGAGACTAATAATTTGTAGTTCCTTCTGTCAACAGTGGAAAAACAAATACCCTTGCAATTAAATTTATACCAATTGAACAATCTGATGTCCTAGCGTGTTGATAAATAATTTGTTGATATTTGAGTTAACAGCTTCTGGGATCTGATCTGATAGTGAACGTCACTAAAATGGACATCATGCCGTCGACGAATCACAAGCCAGAAAAAATGCGTTTGGACTACACTGCCAGACCAAATCCACTAAAATAATGAATACATTTTAATAACCATTTATAGATTTGACCTACCATGAAATAAGGTAATGTTTACCCGTCCATCAGTTGGATAATAAACATTAAATCTCCATTGTTCAAATCCAGTTTTACAGTAATTTCTATTCTGCAGATCGTTATCCTCATCTCGGCAATCTGGTGCTACTATTAAGTTAGAGTGAATTCGTACCATATGAATACTTATTAGTTGAGTTTGCTTTAAATCAACTGGTGAATAACCAAATTGAATTGAATAGGTAACCATAACACATGCATAAACTCCAACATCAGTTGGATCAACATCGATGATTGATAAATATGCCTGACTTATTGATAAGTCAATGTTTGGTATTTCCCAACGATTATTATCTAATGGATTGTAACTGCGTCTCCCATCACCTAACCAAGGATCAATAACATTTGTCCATGTGTTATGAATCCATAATAATGCCCATGATTTATTCCCTATATTAGTCGTGGTATTTCTTGCAATGTAAATGTCTTCAATTTTACTTTCATTTATTACACATTGTAAAGTAATCATACTACCAATGAATACATCATAATAAAATGGGCCTTCCCAAGTTTTATTTGATAGATCGGTAGAAATAACTTCCTTCAATTTTCGATCCCATGCTGATAGAATATTATCCATGTTTGTAGAAATTTTGTGATCATCTTTCATCTCTGATAAATTTATAACAAATGAAAAGAGTAAAGCAATTAATTCATTCATTTAAGCGTGCCACTGTTATTTGCGTCTGATAATAATAATGTTAAGCAAAAAAGGGAAATTATGGATTTATTAGTTTGATATCGGCGCAATCAATATAAATCATGTGACACAGTTCTAGTTTATTAACGATGAAATGTTTAATTTACTTAAATAAAAGTCTATTTACCTATAAACTCATCTAGTATTGTTGGTTTGAATCTTCCCATCGATGTGTTAGGACTGCAACTGGTCAGTCTCTGCTTACTATTTATCTATAGTTTATATCAGAGTCAGGAAACCATGGCCTGTCATTAATAATAATAATATATTCTGAAAATAATATTTACAGAATTCGCACCAGTTTACAGGCATGATCAAATTATTATAAAAATCAACATTTAATGTAGAGAGCAAACATGAAATATAAGAAAGTTTTATGTTTGCTGGTTTAGTAATTGATAAATAGTTTATATATGGCATATATCACAGCAAGCCAATGCAACACCAGGGAACTTGTCGAGTTATTGATAATTATCTACAACTAGAGAAAGTAAGATAAAAGCAAAGAGCACGGAACAACAAAAAAATGATAGCAAGTAAGAGGTTAAACATTTAAAGTTTCGATAATCTCACTTGTGGAGTAAGATACACTTACAGGCGTTAGAGCATTTAATGCATTTTCAGAGGAGCAAAATGCATTAATTAAGCGAACAAACAATGAGAGAGAGTTTAACATACGGATAGTTTGATAGTTAGATTCCATACTCCTCGCAACACCGATCACAGATACGTACAAGTGGGATCAGAAGTGAATTAATTTGAAATTAGATTGGGGAGATATTGTAGTTTATAATAAAATATTGGAAAATGGAGTGTTTGAAATGCCAATTCAATTCGCTTTCTATCAAGTATCTTGAGGAACTTAGCTAGGTTCATTTCACATCGTTAGGCACACGAACAATTTAGCGAGAATGTTCTCAACAATATGACTACCAGATAGCAAACCATTTAAACAAGTTTTTAATTCGATTACTGTTCCCTTTTCGTTTGACATTGAGGCCGATATTTGTAATCTTCGCTCTCAGTCAACCTTAACACAGATTATAGACAAGTCGAATTTACGGGTAACTCCCAGGACCTATTAATTGACCATTATTCTATATATATTCTTGTTATACAACTGTTCAGTAACTAGGTTATGTATATATATATATATATATATATATATATATTCCTCTTATCATAAGCTTCATTTTGACCTATGGATTATTATTATACGATTTATTATTTTTAAATTATACTCAGTTTATTAGTTACAGTCTACTACGTTCACGACCACTTTTTAGCTTGATCTTGTATAAATGTTATTTCATATTTTATGGTATGATGCGGTCTGTTTGTCTGATATATAAACCAAGTATACTTGAAATAAATGATTCGTATAGCAGAAGCTGTAATTGGTGTTCTGGACTTAACTGGAAGGGTTAAGAGGAAGAAGGACCAATAAGGACACTAGGCTGCTCATACTGGTCGAATTTCATTGATTTGGCACAACGCTAAGATTGGATAAGTCGTATTTCGATTGGTGAATAAATCACGTGATGAAAAGCTGGACATAAAATCATAGCAAATTGGTTATGGCCTTTTTATTTTTATTAAGTTCATGACAAATCATATCTAACGTGATCCGTTTTTAAAGTTATATATTTCTTCAGAAATGATCGACAGGGTTGACTTTAGAGCAAATAAATGGATTTCCATATTCTCATGAAACCACGAAGTTGTTATCCGTAAATCGCATTTCGTAGATCTTCTGACGTGCTTCCGTGGAAGTGAAGTGGAAATTATGTGTTGGTCGGAAAAGCTATTTGGGTCTCTGTCAAAGTTTTAAAAGAAAAGTGGTTTTGAATCATAGAGACGAATTTCTACGCGTCGTAATATGAAGAAAAAAGAAAACATTCAGATCTCAGCAAATCATTAACCATGTAAGTGCTACATGCATTTGTAATTTGATTTCTTTTGTAGTGATTGTCTTCTGATCAGCTAAAAGGAGGGGGGTAAATTTTGTGAGTTTATCGTTAGTGTCACTCAAGCTCATTTTTGTAATACAGAAAACTTCAAAAATGAAATAATAGGTAACTTGAAAATAGGTTAAGACACAAAACGGTGTATCAGATACAATCCAAGTAAGACATATATTGGCACAACTCCGTTGACTAATAACATTGTCATGGACACATACGATGCTAACTTGCAATATATAATATTTCCAACGATGTTATTGTGACAGAATTATAATTTATGTGAACTGACTTTTTTCATAACTTGAGCATTTGTATACGAGTCTTCCTACCTAACTTTGTATCTGGACATGTCGTTTTGACCTAAATATGTGAAGAACACAACTTTGGTCATGGGAGATGAGAACAAGCTAAAGTAATACAATAGGATTAGATCGAATTTTTATTTGGACACTCATCTTAGGTGTATGCCGTATTTATTTTTCATCAATTGAAAAAGCGATCATTTTTAGGCGGATTGAATCACTACCGTAGTGGAATATTGGTTAAACAGTAGTGTTTAAATTAGGAGAGGAATTGATATTTAATTGGATGAAGTTTGCAATATCCAACCTTTGGTACGGATGTATCCAGCCTTAAGATAGATTTTGGTCTGGGGAGAGGAGAATATCCACATCAGCGTATGCGAGAGAGTCTGGAGAGAAGACCAAGACAAGAAGCAAGGCAACGAATTAGTAAATACACTGGATACACTTACTTTTGACGTTGAAATTAGTCGACCACAAAAAGCAGTAACACAAGCGTAAGAATAAAACAATATAATAACAGGTATCAGAAGACGACGATACAATAAGATTTCAAATGCATTACGATGAAAGTTTGTGGAACTTATGAGATCTCGCATAAACATGATGGAAACTGGCATGGGAGTAAAATTGTACCTGATTTTAGGTTCATGTGTTTTGAAAACACTAACTTAAGATAACTCATTATTTATAAAAATGGTGTAAAATCTAGTTAGGAACTCCATCAAGGCTATATTTTTGAAAAAAACATGTATGATCCACTTTCCCTAGTCCTCTAGTTTCTACTTCTCGGTTGTGAATCTTAAAAAAGCTGGATGTAAAACTGATTCTGAATCTCTGGGACTAACTTAGGACATTTAAACTATGATGGTTATTCTCTAACTAATTCTAAAGAAGTTTAGCTCCAATAAACTTGTGACAATTGGTATCAATATTTAGTACAAATTACATTCTATAATATTATCTATAACGTTATTAGCTGTATCCCTCAGGAAATTGCTAATAAGAATTAATTTTTGTGACGGAATAAATGATTTAAATTTCTGTCAACTCGGCAATTCAAATTCCGTCAGTTAAAAGTCCCGCTTTAGATAATGGTAATACGCATACAAAAATCTGCATAATCCCTAGGCATTTATTAACACAGTAACGTCTAACTGAATATTTACTATTTTGATCTTCGTAATGCATGAAGCGAATATATGATCACTTCATGCAGGTCTCTACGGAGCTGAAACTTGGAGAACTACCACAACCATCATCAAGAAAGTACAAGTATTTATAAACAATTGTCCACACAAGATAATCAATATCCGTTGGCCGGATACCATTAGCAACAGTCTACTGTAGGAGAGGGTAAATCAGTTTCCAGATGAGGAGGATACTAGGAAAAGACATTGGAAGTGGATAGGACACACATTAAGGAAATCACCAAACTGCATCACGAGGCAAGCGCTAACTTGGAATGCTGAAGGGAAACGAAAAACAGGGAAGATCAAAGAACACGCAGAGTCGGGAATGGGATGCAGACATCATAGGAATGAGTAGAAATTGGAAACAAGTGAAAGCTGTTACTTAGGACAGGGTTGGATAGCGAATGCTGGTGGGCGGCCTATGCTCCTTCACGAGGGGTAACAGGCGTAAGTAAGTAAGCAGCTATATAGGTTCTCTTGATGTTTCTCTAATTAAGAATGAAGCTGATAACCGTAGCATTAATTTCATGGTTAACGTTAATTTACTATATTGTTTGTTTTTCGCTTGACTACTAAGTGCGAACATTTGAGAGTTCGGTATGTCTTTTAATATTGACGAAATATAATCACTCAATGACTTGCTATATTTTGCGTTAAAAAATTGAAAAAAAAAATTGATTACACAACTAATATCCCGACCGAACTGAAGTCACCTACACGACGGTAAGAGAAAAAACTTAATGACTGAAGGTTGATTTCATGCTGAAAATAGCGATACTACTGTTTAAAAATGCTTTTCTAACATGTAGTCAATTTCGAGATTAAAGATATTTGATACTATGGAATATAACGATATCAACACCAAGCACTTCACAACGCTTTATTCAAACGACGTACATACAACTAACAAGTTTTCCATCGAGAAGAAATCAGTATTATTGAAGTGATGTTAGCATCTTTGATCACAAGCAGAAAAGAGTAAAATGCAAAGTATAGAAAAAGAGTTTTACATGAGTGATAGCTTACGAAAAAAGTAAGACGAACAATTAACTTCAGGTCTTTTGCTGGTGAAGTTCATAATACATAATGAGGTCCAAGTTAAATATTTAGTAAGATCTCTTGATGTTCAATGTCAAAATATAGTAGTATTCTACACAAAATCTATATTGCTTTTTTCTTTTTTAATTTAATTGGTAATATGATATTTTTCCGTATTACTTGGTGTTCTAAAAAAACCAAAACATGTTTAAACAAACAATTAAGGTGAGTTAAATTAGAAAATACAAAGTTTTTATGTGGACGTGTTCCACTATAATCATACGCTTTCGGTATTAGTTAATATGTATGTTACTTTACAAAATGTATAAATCTAAATAACTTGTTACACAGAATTATTATCATCAAAAGAACTATCAATAATTATTGAAACATTGATTTTTCATATTTTTTTAAGAGGTTCGGATACATTATCAGCTATACGTATATATATATATATATATATATATATATATATATATATCGCAATTGATTTAGTTAGTTTTAGTGTTTTTGTAAAGTACATTGATTCTATTCTTGCGAGGCGAGATCGTGGATGCACACTGCTGAGAAGTCCCATACAAGGAAGAAACGGTCGTCCAGTGATTCCAGGTTTTCCTTGGTGGTCTAGCTTCAACTGACTCATGTTTTCAACTAAGAAGATTTTATTGTA